TATGGGTTTTAAAGTTAATTGATTTGAGAGCCATTATGTCAGTTTTATAAGTTTCTAAAGAAAATATTGTGGCTTTACATCTCGCCAGTTTCTTTATTTACGAAAGATTATTTTATTATATTCATTAATAGCGTATATACCTTCTTTGCGAAATATTTTAACATCTTCGCATAGTTTTTTCCTTATTTCCAATTTTTCATTCGCGTAATCTTTTGTTGATGAATATACTTGAAACCTTGAGCTTTCACGCTGATGTTAAAACTTTATTTTTATTTTGAAAGTTTAATAGTTTAACAATTCTTGTTTTTGCAGATTTATTGTCCTTTATTTTCCTGTTATAATGAGCTCTTTCAACAGTTATCTCCTCCAAGATTCCCAACATTGATTTGCACAATAATACCAAGTTTTGTTAGGCAGCTCAGCTAACCCACCAAGCCTTAAGTTGTTCTGTCGTGCACGATTTTCCAAATCAATAGATATTTAATTCATTATTTTACTGGCATTAAACTGTTTGAATGTGATATTCTATTTTAAAATAGTTTTTTTTTGAATATTTCTACTGTAATATATGTAGTTTACATCTTTTATAACTATTACAATTTTTGCTTTGTTTTTATTAAATAAGCACACATTATATCAGTAAATATTTTTTCTTGACTTTTTAAAAGTGTTACAGTTTTATTTACAATCATTTTTTTTTTCTTATTCTAGTTTGTTTGTTATAAGTTTTTCTCTATTTTTTATTGTAACTTCTATATTTGTTTAAAAAATTAGCTACTAAAACTTTAAAAAATTAGTTTAAAGTAGCTTAATTAACACGTCTTGCTTGTTCAATGCTACAATCAAAATAAAATACAATTTCATGGTTTCAGTTTTTTATTTTTATAATTTTCAGTAAAAGTAGCATGCTTAGTATTTTTGTTTTTTTTTGCTGGTTGGGATAAAACAAGATGTATTTTTTGTTATGTGTTTAAAGAAAAGTTATTTACTTCAAATCAAATTTTTCGTTTCTTAACATCTTCGTTTACAGATTCAAAGAGACTTTTTGATTGATGCTGTAAATAAAACAAATGTGTTATCATCAAACATTAATGCATCGATTTTTTCTAGAATTGGTGGAAAATCGAAACTATATATCAAAATAAAAGAGGACCAAAAATAAAACCTTAAGGAACTGCGCAATTTATACTAAATAAATTTGAATAATTATTATCGTTCGAAATAACACATTGACTTCTGTTGCACAGATAACTGTTAAACAAATCTAAAATAGAACTTTTTTCCTGTATCTTTTCATTTTTTTGTATAGATATCATCATTAATTGTGTCCAATGCTTTGGATAGGTCTAACAAAAGGGTCTAATATAATTTGCTTTTTATAAAAACAATTATTAATACTAATAAATAAGCCTAAAACTGCATGTCCTGTTGAGTGATGTGCTTGAAAGCCACATTTTTATTTATTTAAATTTTTGTTTTGTATGAGCTATTTATAAAGTTATTATTAGATTATTCATTTAATTAATTTAGCAAAGGTTGGAAATATTGAGATTATTATAAATGTTGCAAGGGTTTCTAAATACAATTTTAGAAACTTTTAATTTATCTGATACAGTTCCAGTTTTAATTGGTGGTTTAAATATTTAAAAAATAGGTTTGCATATCTCCGTAAAAACCCAAGCAAACTATTTGAGGTTAATATTGTCTCAAAATTAGGTTAAGTTAACGTTGTTTTGACGTTGAATTTTGTTATTAATTTGAAATACGGATTAATGGTGAAATTTGGCATCTTAATACCGTCTGCTTTTGACATTTAAAACTAATTATGATTTGGCGTCTGAATGCTGCTAAGTTTTAACGTCACATTTATGGTTTATTTACACTTAAAATAACGTAAAATTAATATGTATTATTGATGTTATTATTATTTTTATCAAACTACAACAACATAGTCGTGAGAAATGGCTATATAAAAACCCTTTGTTGTTTTTGAGTTTTGACAGTATACTGGAAGTTGTACCCAATATCATACTTGTTTTGTTTTCTAGTTAGAAAATTTTTTTATTTTGTGGCATGATTGTGTTTTTCTTGGGTTTAACTTAAATAAAAATTTATTTTATAAAATCCATTTTTAATTTTTAATTGTTGTAGTTGATCTCCTCTTAGTCTTCTTTCTTCCAGTGTTGACGCACCATGGCAGCAAATCCTTTCCTCATATGTTTTACAACTAATTTCTCAGACTAATTTAGTTGCCCTTCTTTGACTGATTCAACTGATTTGATATTTTTTAATCTATTTGGATTCCATACTGAAGCAGCGTACTCCACATGCTGCCTCACCATTGACATAAAGAGCATCTTAAAAGTGTTAATGTAAATGTATTAGAATGAATTTTTAAGCTGACCCAATATACGATTTGACGTTGCTATTACGGAGTGGATTTGTTGGTCCCACTTTAACTCAGACCTAATAATCACTTCTAATAAGTCTTTCTCAAGTTCTACTTTTATTATTTGATGCCCATTTACCTGATAATTAAACTTTTGCTTTGATTTCCCAATGTGAATTACTTTATATTTGCTCTCATTCAAAGACATTTGCCATGTTTCGCACCGTTTTGATATAAGGTTGATTTTATTTTGCAAACTAATGGAATAGTTTTTGTCTTTTATGACTCCAACCATTTTTGTGCAATGTGCAAAAATTTTGGTATTATTTGTAATGTCACGCCATTTATGAAAATTACAAACAGTAACGGCCCAAGAAACGAGACTTGAGGAACCCCACTAAGCACATGAAGCCAGTCTGAATTAGCGTCTCCTAGTATGACACGCTGTTTTCGATCTTTTAAGCAGTTAGTTATCCAGTTGAGCATCTTATTCACTATTCTGTGAGCTATTAGTTTTATTAAACAAAGTCGTGTGTGTAATATTAAATCGAATGCTTTACTGAAGTGTTTAAATATTATATCAACTGGGATGCTGTTGTCGATAGCTTTTGTAATTAGATCAAACGATTCAAGCAAGTTTGTTGTGCTAATTTTCCCTTAACGAAGGCAAGTTGATCCTTTGATATCAAATTATTTGTTGAAAGATTTTTTACTATTGTGTCCTTTATGATGCTCCCCAATATTTTACAGACCACTAATGTTATGAAAATGGGTCTGTAATTCGAAACATCTGAATGACATTCAATCTTGTAAATTAGCGTAACATTCGCCAGTCTCTATTATTCTGGTATTTTACCACTATTAAATGATAGCTTAAATAAGAACAGAATTGAGTTAGACAATGAATCAAAGCAGCTAGACAGTACATATGGCTGAACTACTTCAATGTCACATGATTCAGCAATTAATTTTATATTTAATCAAGTTTTTTCTCAGGATCCAAGTGACTTTTCATGCCAATTTTGACAATTTGTTTTTGATTTGTGTAAAAATAAATCATTTTTGGAGCAATTTTATGTTTGCAGCTACAATTTTATTGTATGCTCATTTCACCTCTCTTGCTACTTTCTTTTTTGTTTCCAGTTATTTAAGTTTCAGATAGTGTTTGAAACCGCTTATTTTTAATTTATACAACAGATTTTTCTTGTTTTTGATTAGCTCTATTATTTGGTTGTTGAACCAAAATGGCGGTTTTTTCATGAAGTTTTTTTATGAATATTTTACACCTATTGTGGCGAATTTCAATAAAGCTTTAGCAGTTTGTCGCAATATCATAAACATTGTTGAGATTATTTTTCCAAATCAAAACTTTTGAAACATGAATTTAGATCATCGTAATTGTATCTTTTGTAGAAAATGTTTTGGTTAAGAATCGTTTTGTTTTAATTAATATGTCTTAATTATTGCTTTATTAATATGAACTAAAGTAGCTCCAGTATATATATATATATATATATATATATATATATATATGTATGTATATATATATATATATATATATATATATATATATGTATATATATATATATATATATATATATATACATATATATATATATACATATATATATATATATATATATATATATATATATATATATATATATATATATATATATATATATATATATATATATATATATATATATATATATATATATATATGTATATATATATATATATGTATATATATATATATATATATATATATATATATATATATATATATATATATATATATATGTATATATATATATATATATATATATATATATATATATATATGTATGTATATATATATATATATATATATGTATATATATATATATATATATATATATATATATATATATATATATATATATATATATATATATATATATATATATATATATATACCTATATTATTACATACGTAGAAAGATTTTATTGCATGCATTAATTGATTGCAGTTCAGTAAAAAACTTTTTAGAAAGAACACTTTTTTTTCTCTCTATTATAAATGTTTCTTTACTGCAGTTATTAGAGTTTTTTATTAAATTTATCTAAAAATGATTTTTTGCAAAATAAATTTTAGATAATCCGTAAAATTAAATCTTATATTGTTATTTTAATCAACTTGTAACTTGTTAACTTTATATAATATACAATACTGTTGAGGTTTAACGCAATGTTAAATGTTTCACAAAAAAGGAAGTTAGATAGTCTCAATTATATTTAGTTTAGCTTTAAATAAGTTAAGATTTCACTTTCACTGTTTCAATTAGTAAGTTCTTTCTGATTAAAAAAAGCAGTTTCTTTTAATACAATAAGAAAAATTTGCTTGTCTCCTTTAAATTCTTATTGAAAATTTCATTCAAAGCCGTAAATGGAAAGAAATTATGAGAATTATATTTAAAACATGATTAGTTTTGGAAAGTGTTTTAGCAACAGAAAATAAAACTAGTAAAACTAAAATATGTATATTAAAATTATTTTCAAAATATATTTTTAATTTAGGTTGCAATTGTTGTTATTTATATATTATTGATAAAAAATATTTTTATTTTAGGTGAAACGACGCAATCACCAACAAAAACAATAGCAGGTATTGATATCATTTTATTCAACTGCTAAACATATTCAACTTGTAATATTATTGACTAAATAATTTCGTTAATTGTTGTCATATCATATCTACATAATACAAGAGGACGAATATACTCTGAAAACGAAACTTTAAAGCCAATTTTATAAAAAAACATAAGTGGCGTCACTATTAACTAAGTTTCATGGTGTTTATATTTTACATTAAAACAAAGTTTGCTTTACATTAAAAAAAAATTTATAACGATAAATTTATACACTATAGCTATTTGTTTTAACTTAACTGAAGTTTGACTTGAACTTTAATGTTTAACTTTGTCAAGTTAGTGCTGAAGCTTGAGCAAAATGGTAAACGAAACTTGAAAACTTTGAGTTTGCACAAAAAGGCATTGAATAATTGGTTAAAACGAAAAAAAAACTTCACTACAATAAGCGGAAGAATATTTGAAAAAAGAAAAACCTTTACAATAATGCAAACTTTACAAAAATGATAAATTTATCTTATGTATTTTATTTTTATTAAACTCAGTATTTTACAAAACAACATTGGATTTAATTGAAAATGCTTTTGTAACCATTTATTTAGTCTAAGGCACTAACTACGACGTAATATCTGCTTAACATTCATGTGGCACATATGCTCTACGGTTATCAGCAAAGTATATATGATGATTAAAAGGTTTTATTTTTCTTTTTTCTTGTGAAATTTTTAAGTAAAAAAAAAACTTAAACAAGGCTTTAAGCAAACACTACTTACATTTGAAGTAAGCAGAAAGTTAATTAAAAATTATGACAAAAATTTCCAACACCAGGCAGAGTATAATATTTATAACAATATAGAATAAAATCAGTAGAAGGAAATGGTTAAAACAAATGAGATTGTATCTAATGTACGTTGTAACCTATTTTTGTAATAACAACAAGTTATCAAAAAAATGATAAGATCAAAAATTGTATAGATCATGGGCGGATCCAGCATTTTGTGGTCTTTAAGATAGCTAACCTCCAAAAACGGATCATCTACAAACAACTATATGTTTAAACTTGTGTCAAAGTAAAATACGTTGCAAAAAATTGTCTCTCATTTTGAGCTGCCTTGTTTTATTGGTGTCTTAAAAGAGTTTGGCCGTTTGGTTCAATATATGAACAAAAGAAAAACCTTTTATTAAGTTTATAATTTAATCAATCAATTTTGGCTAAATAAATCTATTTATTTCTCAAATTTGAGTAAAAAACTGGATAAGAAGACTGATAAAACTAACTTAGTGTAAGTCTAATATCCTACAAGAGACAACATTGTGCAAATATTTCTACAAAATTATTTAATTCTATTATTAAAATGTATAGAATACATTTTTGGAATAAAAGTTATTAAAGTTTCAAAAATTTTTAAAGTTATAATTACATAAACATTAGTGGAAAACCAACTTAACTTTCTTTCTTGCTCTATTTATATAGCGTTTTACAGTATCAATATTATTACTTACCAAATGACTAAATGAGTCACTAAAGCTTATAATTGATGTAGGGTCTTTTGATATTATCAAAAATCTTAAGGTACAATAAAAGCCAAAACAATACAAACGTATTATGACATTAAAATAAAAAAGTTACAAAAATTATTGAAAATTATACGTATTAAAAGTTTTATTTTGATAAACACAATTTGAAGAATTTTTTTATCAAAGAATTTCTATGTTTTTGAATGTTATTTTTATTTGACAAAATAATAACTTTTTTTTTCATATTTAGTTTTTAATTTACTTTATTAAGAAAAAAGATTTTCTTTATTGATACTTTTTGATTTTTTTTGTTTTTATTTTTTGATAAATTAAAAAGAATTGCTTCACTATTTTAATTCCTCCAACAAAACCTCTCGTAGATACTTTATAACCTTTTTCCATAATAAAATTTTACATTTAATTGTAATTTAAAAAAATTTTTGTTAAATTACAATTCTGTAAAGTAAGGCAAGATATAATATTGTCTATAAAAGGTTTTTTGTGTCATTTGAAAAAGGATATTGCAAAACAATTTCAAAACAACATTTTACTTTCGAACCTGTGCTAACTATATGGGATGTTGTCCCCTATAACATAGACGCGCTGATGAGAAAACCTATTTAATGCTAAGTTGGTAAAATCTCGTGATCCCTAAACACATTTAGTCCACTAAATACAAGCAGAAAATTTTTTATTTAAACGACCATTAATTTCTTGGCTGTTCGAAGACACATATTCTTTTCTGTTATGATACAATTCTGTTTTTTCTGCCTCTGGACTTGTCATAGAATATCCATCTAATGTTTCAAAATATCATGTTAATCTTTATAGTTTTCAAGATTGAAAACAAATGAAAATACTGTTTATATATGAATAAAAAATTTACTTAATAAAAATATACTACAAAATACTATAAATAATAGACCAATATTCAATACTAAAAAATAATAGAGCAATATTTATTTTATTTATTTATATAAAATGAATAAAAACATCTTTTATTGGAAATCTGAGTTTAATGTCTTTTGACAATCATCAGCCATTGTGCATTTCTTAGGACAAAATAAACAAAGGCTATTGATTGCTGAAAGGCATGAAACTCAAAGTTCCATCATAAGTTATTTTTATTTTATTTTTTATAAACAAATAAATAAAAAGTCGGGGTCTGTTGCATTTAAAGCTTTCAAAAAAAAACGTTAGTTATACACATTTAGTAACTAAATTTTAAGAAAGTTTTCTTAAAAATCTAAAGAAACTAGTGCCAAAAAAAACGCTCCTAGATTTTTATGTTCCTAATAACCGGATAATTGAGGTCAAAGTGTCGGTTTATATAGAAACCATCCTATAGTTTTAACAAGGACAACTTCTATTAAAAAAACAAAAATTACTTCCCTTTCTTTCTTAATTACGCCCAAATAATTATTAGTTTTGATTTCAATTTTATTTTGTATATTATTTAGTTAAACACGATAAAAGTACGTTAAAATTTGAATTCTTTTTGATATAGGTAACCTTAACTTTAGACTTTTTTTGTTATCTGTTTTTTTATGAGACTTGCCATTTGCCGTTTTTATGCAATGTTTTAAAAGACGACTGTAATTAAAACAAAAGTATTATTATTACCAAATTTCTTATATAAATAACTGCCGTTGATGCTTATCTTGCAGTTCAAAATTAAAAGTATAAAACAACAAACGATTTTTATTACAATTTATTAATCTAATCTAAGTTTCTATCATTATCAGACTCAGACTCTTGAAAATCGTTCAAGTCTGAAAATGATTGCAACTTAGATTGTCAAATCTCACCTTGATTTTTTCAAATGTCAGAAACAGACATTTGGAAAGATCTGGGCAAACTATACAAGTTTTATTACAAGAATATCTTCTAATCGAACAATCACGGCAATAATAGTAAATAAAATCAAGCTCCTAATCTGGTGCAGAATGCAATTTTAACCAAGATATGGTAATTGAACCTTGATCATTAAACGAACCATTCTTAAAAGGATTTGATAGGTTATTAACTGCTACATGTGATTGTTTTTTGATTAAAGCTTCATAATTAGCTCTGTTAATGTGTAGAACAAGCGAACCATTATTTGGTTGTAACAAACTCGAACTAAGATATCAACTCTAACAGATTTTGAATATTTTAAGGAATTACCTATAGAAATGATATGTTCATTTTTTTCCAGTAAAGAAGATTTTATTTACTCTTTTAACACATGAATATTTTTTAGTAGTTTCAAATATGTTTTTTATTTTTAAATTGAAAACTATGCATCTTTAAATTGACAACCATGCGATTTAGGCCTTTGAAAACCTAAAATTTGGTTTCACTGGTTTGCCGATTAAGTAGCATCCATAAATTGCAAATATTTTTTAAGATTATTATAAATTCTCTTTGTATTTCCACAAAGAATATATAAATATATATATATATATATATATATATATATATATATATATATATATATATATATATATATATATACATATATGTATGTATATATATATACATAATCGGCCATTGACAACAATCCACTATGATTTTTTTGATTTCATTGTACTTTGATTGATGTTAAATCAATAATTGTTTGACTCTTTATAAATATAAAAAATGTATGTTGATAAGATTCTATTTTCTTTCAAATAAATATAAATATTCATAAAAATATTATTCAATGTGCTAGTTATATTGCTTTTTTTTTGACATATATCTTATAATCTAAAATGTTAGTTATGGTCAACATTAACAATCCATTGTATTATTTCAAGCCTCTTTTGGAATTTTATTTGTCTCTGAATAAGACTTTGCACTTAATTCCAAACTATTTAAAACTATTTAAAAGTTTTGATTTAAATTGTTACCAATATTTGAAAAATTTGTGTAAATTAAATAGAAAATTAGAATCTAACTATAATACTTTAGCAATAAAAACAATAATAAGTGTCTATTTTGGACATCACTATTTTTCCGCTGTGATTCTAAATTATAATTTAAAAAAGAATTTTTAAACTATTTTATTATTGTTAACAAACACTTTCAGGGTATGTGCAAGAAAACAAAACAAAAAACCCTACGTTTTAGATTTATAATACATATCCCCAATAAAATAAGTTAAATAAATGATATATATATATATACATATATATATATATATATATATATATATATATATATATATATATATATATATATATATATATATATATATATATATAAATATATATATATATATATACATATATATATATATATATATATATATATATATATATATATATATATATATATATATATATATGTATGTATATATATATATATATATATATATATATATATATGTATGTATATATATATATATATATATATATATATATATATATATATATATATATATATATATATATATATATAAATAAACATATATATATATATATATATATATACATATATATATATGTATATATATATATATATGTATATATATATA